CATTTCGTTAATCACCTCCAATATGCTTTTTAAAGCATGCACACACATCCTCTAATCTTATTCCAATAAAACACAAAATAAAAATCTTGAACTTTTTGATTGAATTGGAATATTCAACAAGAATATGATTTACTTACTACTCCTGACTTCCGATAACCCGGATCAGTACTAAATAAGTTAATATTAAAAAGCAATGAAAGTTATAATGATTAATTAAATGATTTTGATGCTTAAATGATTTCTGTATAGTTCTTTAGTAGTACTTACTTCTTTGCTCTTGATCTTCTGATTTTACATTGTTTGAAAAAAAAAAGATAATTATTATTAGTTAGCAGAATAATTATAAACTGAATTTCAATTGTATCTCAATTGTATCCCAATTTAGAGAAATGAAGATCATATGCTAATGAATTTTCAAGAAAAACTAAAGTAACGACAAGTGGCGGGCGATAACCACCACCACCATCCTTATTCTTAAAACACTTACTCGTATGTGTCTTTGGTTTCTGCTTCTCTGTTTCTTTTTTTAGTATTTTTGAATCTGTTTGGTGATGACATTTTTGAAAAGAAGTTTGTGATTTGATCGACGCATGCACATTAATTTATTGGTTTTTTTTTTGGTAGGACAGACGCGAATTGATTGATTTTCGGAAAAACAAAAAACAATTTATTTTTTGACAGAGTCCAAGGTGACAAAACGTGAGTGTTGTTGTTTGGTTTGGCTTGGGTCTCCTAAAGAATACGTGTTAATAACTAACCAGAGGTACTTTTTTTTATTTGTATTGATATGTATGAGGTGTCTTTTATTTTAGCTTATAAATATTTTAATTGGAATCAAAACGCAGAGCAGATCTTGCTAGGTAATTACAAGATTTTCATTGATAATATTTTGCTTTGCGTAATCAATAATAATAATACTATTATTATTATTATAATCACAAGATGTCAAGGTAGCATTGACTGTTGAAAAAGAAACAATTCAAATATGCGATGTTTGATTATCGGAAATTGGCAGGCGTTGAAGCACGCACGCTACCTTGAACACTTTACAGTCATTCTCACACGTTCCTCGTGTACATAAGGCTAATCTGACCTGCTCCCTCTGATGATATGATGATGCAACTGAACTTGAGGGGGAGGGGGCATGGCCCTGGAGCTACGCCAAGGCTGCATAAATCGTCAATGACATTTTCACTAATCTTCCCTGACCATAGAAGGCTGCTGGCACGCTGGCCGAAAAGTTGCCTGCAACGATCCCACCTCTGGGGTAAGGATGGCTCTGTGACCAAGTTACAACTCTGCTGATGAATTGTAGTGCCATGTAAATATTCAGATCCATCAAAGCAACAAGAATCTGCAACTTGTTTCAAGCACCAGGAGGTCGCAATTCAGAGCAGGGTTGGTGGCCCTGAAATTGCATTTGGGCTCTGATGTTAAGAGGAAAGTTGTAAAATAGTGTTTGCTTTGTATAATCATTTTCCTAAACGCTCTGTTTCTCTGATACTAGTGTTGGTTTCCAAAACTAGAGAGTTTCGCAACTGTGTGAAAGTTAAAAGGTTTGCCATAAGTTGAAACTAGTTTTGATTTTTGACTATTGACTTTTGATTTAGTTTCAACATATAACTTTTAATTTTAGTTTGACTTTCATCTCTTCAAAATAGTTTAGGTAACCAACACTATCTGATACTATCCAATTTGTTAAGGGACTGTAATGGTTTTTTGTCCAATCAGCCCCTGTCCTGTAGTTTAAAATTATCACATGATTATATACATCTTTGTCAGCAATGTGGCCAATGAGCAAAAGTCATAAAATGGTTTGGATTTTGGTATGTTATAAATTAATCATTTTCATAAATGCTCTGTTTTTCTTTAATTTTTATTTGACCAACTGAACTTGTTATTTAAATGGGGTAGGATTGTTGGTGAGTAGGCATGCCATCAAAAAGACAACAACCAGGACTCAAAACTCCGAATTCAGGGAAAAATCAAAACAGCAACCCAGGTTGCAACCTCCCAAGTTGCAGAACTTTTGAACCAGATGCCAGTGCCAACTTTTATGCTAGTGTGGCAATAACTTGCAGCAATCATCACACAAATGTTGATATCCATCAGCAATCAATGCCTATATGGTGACAGCAAGCCTGGTCTGAGGGGAAGATAGGGAAAAGTTTTGTCCAAAGCCTTCCAACATGTTTTCACCTTACCCGTGGAAACAATTCCATGGTTATGAGGCGTGTGAAAGCACGTGTTGACTTGTTTGTGACAGGAAAGTTTTAATTAAATCTGACACCTGCAATCAACATCAGATTTATTATTCATGAGCAACCATAATTGATAATCAGGAAAAGTAATTTATTTTGTGAACCCCAGAGATCTGGGTAGTCATGCATTGTTAAGAGTTTTGTTTATGCATGGCCTTGGTATCATTACTACCTGGGTGATGCAATTGTTTGTTATGTCAATGATGATATCAAATGTATCACATAATAATCATGACCATCATGAATATTTGATGGATGGAGACATTCACATACAAGAAAATCAAAGAAATGATTAAATAGCTAAGTCATGTTTGTTTTATTAAAACTATATAATTAATAATATTTAAAATATACAATAAAAAAATTGCATTGAATCCAAAGACTGCATCACTATGTCAATCAAGCTATCAAGCTGTTATGTTTGTGCATTATTTAAAATTCTTTTGTGCTCCCATCTTTGCTTATATATAATCTATTGGTTCTCTCTTTACTGGTCAAATGATGCCAAATTGGGTAATGGGGTACCAGCAAATATCAGAATCTGATTATAATATTCTTAATATTTTTATCATATACTCTAAAAGCCTATTAGTAAATATTGAATGAAATTATCAGATATTCTTTTAAAATTAATCCTATTTTTAGTTAATTTTTAATTAATTTAATAAACCAATAACTCTTTTCATCACCAATTAAAACACGCTCTCCCAAATTTAATTGGTGACAATATCAAGAAGAATTTTATTATCATTAAACCATTCTTAGACCTCAATCCATTAGTATTCATTAAATCGAGACACTCTAATTGAGATTCGCTGTGTAATATAAATTTAAATTATCAAATTAAAAATATAAATTTAATATGACATTAAAAAATTCTTAGGAATCTGGTTTGATTCAAATCAATTTGAATTGAATTGAATTGAATTGAATTGAATTGAATTGAATCAAGTATTTTTGAATTCGAATCAAATTGAATTGACTACAGAATGAATCTAATTGATTCAAATCACTCAAATTCGATTCAATTCAATTTGTTCAGAGCCTTAGACAAAACTTCCCTATCTTCCCCTCAGACCAGGCTCAGCTGTTACCATATGGGCATAGATTGCTGATAGCTGGTGTTTGTGTGATGCTTGCTTTGTGTTATCCCAGCCTGTAGAATAAAGTTGGTGTCTGTAACTGACTGAAAATTCTGCAGTTCAGGAGGTTGCAACCTGGGTTGCTGTCTTATTAGTGGCATTCCTACTCATCAACAACCCTACCCCCATTTAAATAACAAGTTCAGTTGGTCAAATAAGAATTAAAGAGAAACAGGAAATTTGGGAAAATGATTAATTTATAACATATCAAACAAAATCTGAACCATTTTATTTACAGCTTTCTCCTTTGATGCCAGTGATCATGATGACTCTCACAATAGGAGTGGGCAGAGTCAAACTGCCACCTTTATACTTGAATACACACTCTCATTGAGCTACATTCTTTTATTCTAGGGTGGATTATATGGACAAAAGCCTCATTTAAAAAATAACAAGTTCAGTTGGTCAAATAAAAATAAAAAGAAACAGAAAATTTGGGAATGATTAATTTATAACATAACATACCAAAATCCAAACCATTTAATGCCTTTTTCTTGTTGGCCATATTGCTGACAAAGATGCATATAATCATGTGATAATTTTAATCTATAAGACAGGGGAGTTATTGAGCAAAAACCCTACCCAACTAATTATAAATTGGTTAGTATCAAAAAAACAGTGAATTTATGAAAATGATTATACACAATTAACACTATTTTACAACTTTCCTCTCAACATCAGAGCCCAAATGCAATTTCAGGACCACCAACTCTACTCTGAATTGTGACCTCCTGTGCTTGAATGAGCTGCAGATTCTTTTAATATTCCTTCAGAGTTGCAACAGCTTGGTCACTGAGCCATCCTTACCCTAAAGTAGGATCGTTGCAAGTGACTTTTCAGCTAGCATGCCAGCAGCCTTCTCTGGTCTCGGTACTGGGAAGATTAGTGAAAATTTCATTGACGATTGATGCAGTCTTGATGCAGCTCCAGGGCTATACTGCCCCTTGGAATTTAATTGCATCATTGTATCCTTGGGGATCGCAGGTTAGTTTAGCTTTGTGTACATGAGGAACATGTGAGAGTGACTGTAAATATGTTCAAGGTAGCGTGCGTGCTTCAACATCTGCCAATTTCCAATAATCAAACATCACATATCGAAATGTTTCTTTTCAATAGTCAATGCTGCCTTGACATCTTGTAATTATTTATTATTATTTAATTTTAATATTGATAATGATTACGCAAAGCTAAATACACAATCTTGATAAGTATCTTATAATTACCCAGCAATGATCTGCCCGCATTTTGATTTCAATTAAACACAATGCAAATTAAAAAAAAGTACCTCTGGTTAGATATTAACACATCTTCTTTAGGAGGCTCATATTTTGCCGTCTTTGAAAAATAAATTGTTTTTCCAAGAAAAAAAAAAAATCAATTCGCATCAACAAAAAAAACCAATAGGGGTTCCATACATAAATAATTAACGTGTACGCGTTTGTTGATCAAATAAATCTTTTTTTAATGTCTTTTATCAATGCCTCCCCAACAAAAACGAACCACAGTAAAATAATAGCCGATAACTATAGGTAAGTGTTTATCATAAGAATGGTGGTGGTGGTTATCGCCACTTGTTGTCATTCTAGTTATAAAAAGAATGGTAAAGAAATAAAATAAATTTTACCTTTTGTACCTGTGATTGGGATTAGAGTTGGTAGGAGTTAGTTTTCTCAAATATTTTTACAATTAATAATGCTTTGCAATTAATGATTAAGGAAAGATAATCATGTGTTTCTTCTCAAAACATTTGAATGTTCTTTTCTAACAAAAGGTCAAAAAGCGTCTGCATCCTCAGAATATTAGTAATAATAAAGAGAATAATTTAAAAAGGTTAGTTGGTTTTTGAAACAAATCAATATTTCATACCACACACAATAAATGAAATTTTTTTATATAAAATAGCACAAAACCGCAAACAATTCAAAACAATCTGAAAAATCCAGTATTCAAGAATATTCTAAAGTCATAGCCGGAGTTAATGCCATAAGAATGAATAATAAAGCTGTTTATACTAAGTATGTACTTGTTTTTGTACATCTATCTACCTACCAATATATCTTGTTTTACTGATTTTCATGCCTCTATAGTCCACTCTGGTGGGGTGTTGTTGATCTGAGAGGAGAAAGCAGCACCATCTCCAGATCTTCCTCATGCAAAACATTTCCTTTCAGAAACTGAAGTAAATCGGGCTTCGACAACTGGCTACTGATATTGTCAAAGAAGAATCCTGCATCTGTATACTTCTGGATGCACTTTTGGCATCACAAACAAAGAAAATGGAGCTCATAGTGTTGCAGGAGTTCGTGATATACTTGAGAAGGAACACGTATCAAAGGACTTTGATGCATATGATGATGATACAATATATATATTGGAAAGTGTTTGTCTGCAGCGTAGGTTCCTCTAGTAATTATCATAATCATATGCTTCTAAAATATATAGATTTCAATGATTTTTTTTACTTTGTTGTCTTGCGTGATATATAATTGTTGCAATTTAGAGATGAATGGGTTTGCTGTTATAATGGTACATCTGATTCAGAATGGACAGTAGATATTACCATTCTCAAAAACACCTGAAACTATTTTTTTATAGTAAGAAAAATTATTTTTTGTTTTTTCTATCATTTATTTTACCAGTAAATTTAATTATAACAATAGTAATTTGCCATATAGTGGAGAAAATCAACCGGAGGCTGATAGAGAGGAGAAATCAGCATGTGTCAATTCAGCATGCGCTGGGACTATTATTTTTGGTAACAGCTGTTCAATCTTTTATGTTCATGGAGGTGTTAAATGCAAATACTTGATTTAATTTTTAACTACAGAGCAATAATAATCGAGAATTGGGTTTGGTGAAAATAGTGTCCTAAAAAAAAAGATCATGACAAGTCCAAATCTAATTTTGTTGATCTAACTAGATGAATGCTTTATGACAGTGACTTCGTCACTGGTGTTACTTGTTATTTACTGTTTTAAAGTCTCTATTCAAATAAAGGTTACTATTTGAATTATTTGTAATTGTTTGGTTGAATTACAAACAGAAATTTTATTAGAAAAATTTTCGATCTAATAAAAGTGTCCCGTTCACAACATATCAAATCTCAAACATCATGCATTGAAATAAGTGGTCGTAATTAGTGTTCCTAATACTAACCGAAAATCAAATTTTTTACGAATATTCGAATATCAATTTATTCATAATTTATTTTGGATACTTGTATTTATTTTGAATATAATCCTACTATATAACAAACATTTTTCAAAGATAATAAAAATAACAACATATATTTTTTACAACAATTAAAATATTTACTCAGAAAACATTTTCATTTAAAAAGTAATTCTTTCAAAACCCAAATGGAATTTGCAGAAAAATTTTCCGAATACTTCAATTGTATAAATCATTTTTAAAATGCCATAATATTCTTACATCTGATAAAAATAATATAATTTATTAGAACAATCAAATTGATGATGTCCAAAAAGAAACTTTATCAATTAAAGAACAAGAAAAATTAATAATGGTTTGTTAGAATTTATGCAAATATCTGAAATAATGAGCATTCAAAATAATTACAAGTATCCAAAATAATTACGAGTATCCGAAATAATATTCGAAATTCATAATTTTGGATTTACGAATACTCGAATATGGAGTCATAATTACGGTTAGGAACCCTACCCCGATAAACTAAACCACGTTTCACATTCAAATTGGCAATCAAGGAACACCAGTGTTGACAATGACAGTTATTTAACTTTTGAACTGTCAAAATAACTGGTTCAAAAGTTAAGTAACCAGTTCAAAAAATCATTTGAATTTATGAACTTTGGCTCAAATAAAATCTCATGACATAAATTGATTGATTTATGTGCACGAGTTTGTTTCTATCATTCACCTATATCTTTTTATTGTAAAATATGATTTCCTACTAAGCTGTTCCTCTGTGTACAAAATTGATAAATTTTTAAATTAAAGTGTAAATAAACATTGTTCTTTCCTAAAATCAAAGTTATTAACTCTGGATCCAGAAAGCAGTACATATAATAATAATATTTGATACTGTTTTCAATATTTGTAATGAACTTTGTCAAATAACTTGCAGATTGGTTAAATAACTGCTCAGCAAAGTTCAGATAATCAGCAAGTTATCTAGCTTAATTAACAGTTCAAAAGTTCAAATAGTTCAAAAAAAGATTTGAACCAGTTAAATTGCCGGTTTATTTCCTAGTTCCACAAAGATCAACGTAAACGTTTCTAATTGTACATAATACCATATTATTTATATTATTTGACTCTTCAACATCAACACTATTCTTCCCTTAAAAATTCAAGAATTTTTATATTATATAACGATGAAAAATCATAATGATAAGAATTCAATTAATGATAACAAGATTTATAATATCAGCAAATTCTGAAATAGAAGAGCTTAGCCAAGTGCAAAATACTTTATCAAACACAAATATGCGGATTCGATGTTTAAAGAAAGGATTAGGCACCTTAGTGAGTACAGTCAACCCTCTAAGTGCACTCTCTCTAATGCACGCCATGTCTCATTCCCAAGCTTATAATGAGCTCATAAAACTACTCCCTCTAAATGCACACCTCTCTAAATGCACGTTCATGAGAAATAGTGATATGTTACCAAGGAGGATGCATTTAGAGGAGTTGACTGTATTATTTTTAATTCAAAGAATCCATTTCATGTTCTGCTTAAGAGTGTGGCCGGGAAAGCTGGACTAATTGAATTTAATCGTCTTAATTCTAAGATGGAAATGGAATTTTCATCTTTAAATTGAAAATCATCATTATTGTGTTTAGATAGATTTATATTGACATATGTATTTTATTTATATATAAACAATTGTATATTACTATTATTGAATTATTGAATTGATATGATTAACGATGGGCGTTTTATTTATAAATTTTTTATAATAATATAACAAACTAACCACAGGTCCCCGATTCCTCGACACCGTTATACCGACAGGACGTTTCACCGACAAGACGTTTTCTAATATATTCTATCAGTTTAGCATAATATTTCTTGATTTCCTGCCATAGACATATTATGTCATTATCCGTTAATATTAAGAAATAACATATTAATATTAATTGCCGATCCTTTTATAAACGGCAGAAAAATACCATATGCGTTGATTTTGTTTGAACCCCAAAATCTAGTGTGGTGTGATCATAACGTTATGAATACTTTATACTAGAAAAAACCCATTGGTTTTGAGGTGGTGCCATTGGTTTGACGGGTTGTTGAATAGTAAAATAGTTTTTTTTAGCGGAGCAAATATTTTTTTTAGGGTTAATTATCATTCTACTGACCAGTTTACACATTAAAAATACTCGTGTTTAACATCAAGACATAATAAGACATAAGGTTTGAAAAAAGGCCCAAAAAACCAAATCGGCTGATATGAATTAGTAAAATTGTAAAATTTCAGGATGCGTTTTTTTCAAGTGTAAAAAGGCTGGCTTGAAATTTCTGTAATACGGAAAATCTTTCCAACAAAAGAATTTGATTACTTAAATTAGAAAGATCCTTCTTAAATTTCGGACTGACATTTATAGTTGACATTATTAGTATTAGTTTTGATGACCTTTTTTGGACAATAATAATTATTTTTTAATAAAAAACGGCCTAATCGATAAAACAAATCAATAAATCAAAAATATGAAAATATTTTTAACTGGAGGTTCAGGATATTTAGGTCGTAATTTTATAGAGTATGCACTTTCACAAAATGACCAAATTAAGATAAATGTTTTATCACGTTCCAGTGTATCTGATGAATATATTGTCAAGGCATCAGAAAAGGTTTCAAATGGTGACGGAAGAGTAAAAATAATTCGTGGAGGTATTGAGAATATTGATGTATTGAAAGAAGGCGTTAATGAAGCTGATGTAATTGTTCACATGGCAGCAAAGGTATTCTTTTTTGCTTTTACAAAAATATAAATTAATGTTTATTTATTCAAAATTTTTCTGTTTTTTTTTTTAGGTAAATAATTGGGGATATTATGAAGAATTTGAAAAAATCAACGTACAAGGAACACTCAATCTTTTAAATGCAATAGAATCATTAAACAGCAACAACACCAAGTCAAGAAGATTTGTTCTTATATCATCATTTACTGCAAAATTAAATAATCATTACCCAAATGACTCATTACCAGATTGGGCACCTTATTCAAAATCAAAATGTTTAAAAGAACAAACAGTCATTGATAAGATATCAGCATTTTCCTCAATTAATGAAATAATAATTTTAAGATTAGGTTGGATATGGGGTAAAGATGATACCAGTTTATTACCTAAATTAAATGATTTATCCAAGAATCCTCTTTGGAAAATTACACCAACTAGTATGAAATTATCCATTTTACATATTACGAATGCGTGTGAATCAATTTACTTATCTTGTATAAAAACAAATTTACCTTCTCACACCATCACCACCACTAACGCCAATAACACCACCTCCTCCTTATCATCAGCACCAATAAGAATTTATGAAATCAAAGATGATACTGAGGATATTACCATGGAGGAATTTATTGATTTTTATGTTGGCACAGCATATGGCATCATACCACCAAAACCTTTTAATAGTTTCAGATTTTCTAAAGGGTTGGTTTTTAATATTGTTGCATTTATAGAAAATATTCCATTTCTCAATTATGCTAAATCATGGGTAATAGGAAGCATTTGTAGAGAATCGTTGGTTTGTATATTTAAACCCTATAATCTAGACAACTCTAAGGCCAGTTCCGAGTTGGGTTATGTTGGAAAAATTTCAAGAGAAGAAGGGTTAATCGAATTGAAAAAATATATGAAAAATTAAATTGAATTATTTCATTGTGATTTTTTTTTATTTTGTTAGAATGTAATTTGATTAAATGAATTATTATGTCTATTTATACTTTATGATTCTTCTTTTCCATTTTCTTATTATAATTTTATTTATTGTTATAATTTTTTACTTAAATCAATTATTCAATTAATCTAATAATTAAAAATAAATTTTTCTAACAAAAAAAAAATAAAAAAAAAATTTTGCCGTCAATTATTCTTGAACAAAAAAAAAGGATATGAAAAAATTTATTCAAATAACATACTATCATATATATAATGTCAGAATATACCAATTGATTATTGATCAATTATCATATTATAATCATCATCAGATTTTATTGATGAAAATAATCCAGAGAAAGCAGCTTCTAAAGATCGTTTATATATGTATTTTTGTGAAAATCCACCACTACGTAAACGTGTTGTTGTTTCAATATAACTGTTATTTGGTTAGGAAAAAATAATAATGACAATGCATGCATACACAAGACACAAAAAAAAAATTATAATAATATCAAAAGGATACGGATCATAATAACGATCTTTTAATGTATAATGATCAACATCCATATATTCATCAATAAGAGGAACAAATTGTAAAGTGTCTTCTTTTGGCATTTTTCTATTTTTAAATCCAATCAACTCATTAATAGCAATTCCACTATCATACTCTTCTAAAGAAGTTTGCGACAACCCTGATATGAAATCTTTGCCAGTACTACTTGTTGAAGAAGAAACAGCAATAGATTTTTTGTATGCCAATGTTTTTATTGTTTCAGATGCTGGGGCTGTAGAATTTGCCTTGTAATTGATGAATGAATTGATGCGTTGATGAAACAATTGGACATAGTAAATATTTAATATGAAAACAAATTAATTGATTAATTGATTGACTAACTAATTAAATTATATAACTAGCAACTAATAATTGATAGCTAACCAATTCTCTTATTATTTCTGCCTCATGAGCCTCTTTTGCCCTTCGCTCTTCATCTAATTCTTTTTTATAATCTTCGAATTTTCTTTTTTTATTTCTTTTTTCTATTTCTGAAATATAATTTGCAAATTTTTCTTCTTCCTCCTAAATAACAATTAATATTAATCAATAGAACTCTTATAACTATATATATATATTATTTATTTATTTACTTGTTTCTTTGCATTTTGTGCTATTATGTCTCTATTTTCTGAAGTGAACTTTTCTATTACTGCTTCAGTTTCTTTTTTATTTGTATCATTTATAAGATCCCAAGCTAAAGTTATTACAAGTGTTGATATTTGTAGATGTAAAATATAAATACATACGTGTAAATGTACATGCATGTACATAATATATAAATCTATACCTATATCTTCAACCATTTCCAAATAATCATTGTATCCTTTTAAACTATCAAAATCTTCTTGTCTCTTATTAAATCTTTTATTTTAAAAAAAAAAATGGTTGGTGAATTAAAGACACAAGCAAACTAACAAATAAACTCACTCACTCTCATACACATATAAATATCTAAATATATTTACTGATGTGCAAGTTTTTTTCTAATTTTAATTTCTTTTTCGACTCTTAAATCTTCAAAGGTTGGAACAACAAAATTAATTTTTCTTAAAGTTTGTTTGCAAATTGGGCAAGGTCCTGCACCATTGGCAAATAATCTGTCAATGCATGATTCACACCTGAATATATATAAATAAAAGGAATAGATGGTCAGTAATTATACTATAATTTGTAAAGAGAATTTTGAGTGAATGAAGAGTGATTCTCCTAACATTTTATGATAACATTCACTGACAAGTAACTTCATGTTTGGTGTAAGATATCGATTATTCCTACATATTGGACATTCTTCATCATTATCAATATAAAAATCCTTTGTTAAATTGTTAGAAGACATAAATTGAAGACTCATTTTTTATTGTAATTTATTTTCATACTGTCACACGCAAAAAACCCAAATTCTCATATTTGGGAATATCTTTTTTTTTTTTTTTCTATAAATAATTTTGCAACACAATTAAAATTAATATTTTTTTTTCATATTCAATATTAAAAACTAAAACTTATAATTAGTAATATAGTATAACACTTTGTTTTCATTTATTATTTCCTTCTCCTTAGTCTTTCCTAATAAAAAATTTTATTTTTTTTTCCTTTAAATAAAAATAAACTTTCATTAATTATCCGTTATTATTCTCTTTTTTACTATTTGTTTTTTCTTATTACAATCACATTATAATTAAATTAATTAAGAATGAGTAAATATTCGAGAGTAAGTTTTTCATTATTTTAAAAAATTAATTAAATTCTTCGTTAGATTACTATTAATTTCATTATTTCTTTTTTAGGTTTCTAATTCAGAAGATGTTCAAGAAGTTGAACTTCAAGTACCTTCTTATGAGGAAGCAACAAGTATTGTTAATAATAACGGTAGTTTAGGAGAGTCTTCAACATCGCCACGTTCAACAAGTCCTGCACCACCTATTATCCCTATACCATCGACGCAACAACACAATAACGATAATAATATTGAAGTAGAAGAAGAAGAAGATATAATAGAGAGTATGGATATCAATGACAATAATATTAATAGTACTAATGATAGTCATAGCAACGAAACCGCTCCTATGATAAGCTCTAATCTCAGTAATAGTAATAATAATAATAATAATAATAATAATAGTATTATTGGCAGATTTTCTATATTAAACAAGATAAAGAGAAAACCCAACAACAACAACAATAGTGGTGGTGGTGGTGCACCACATTCCACTGATGGTGTATTTTCAAATTTATCAGCTAAGCCTGAAACAGAAGCTGAAAAAGAAGAAGAAAATCCACCTGTTAGTATTTCGCATTCATTAATTATTATTTATCAATTAATTAGCTAAATAATTTTTTTCTTCCTTACTTCAGCCATATGAAGCAGCAGCAGCTGATGCAACACCACCTTATTGGGAAACAACCATTATTGCACCAGGATTAATGGGAGATGAAGTTCTTGTTGAAGGATTACCAGTAGGAAATTTTTTTAGTTTTGTTTGGAATATGCTTGGTAAATATTTATTTATTGTTTATTTATTATCCATTTTATAATTAACTTTATATTATTTACGAATAGTATCAATGAGTTTTCAATTTGTTGGATTTCTGTTAACTTATCTTTTACATACAAGTCATGCAGCAAAGGTAAGTTTTATTTCAATATCTACATATGCACATTAATTAATAATATTAATTAATAATATCAATTAATCGATTGATTGATAAAATAGAATGGGTCTCAGGCTGGTTTAGGTATTACATTGGTGCAGTATGGTTTCTACCTTCGTGGTAAATCATTACAAGATGCTGAATATTATAATTATAGTGATGATGATAGTGATAAAGATGGTTTAGCAAAAAATGAATGGTTAAGGTAATTAATGATAATTAATAAATTATTAATTAACATCTTAATAATCATAATAATTCACAATCATCATGATAATAATCGTAATATTTTGTAGTTATATTCTAATGTCTTTAGGATGGTTTATTGTAATCAGAAGTGTTACAAATTATGTTAGAGTTAAAAGAGTGGAAACAATTATGAGAACCACACCAGAAGAAAATGTGTAAAATAAATAAAACAATATTTAATTAGTAACTCATTAATTAATTAATTGACTGCCAATTGTTTTTTTTTTTTTTAAATATATAAACTTTTTTCCTCTCTTTGTAATTTTTTTTTTTTAATATGGAAATTAAATAATAATAATACCATATATATATATATACATACATACACACACATATATGTAATTATGTAATTTTTTTTTATATTCTTTTTTAAATATTAAATATTAGATTATATTTTATTTTACATTGGGCAACATTTTTTTTTGAAGCTTCTAATTCTGTCTCGGAGATTGTCAATAAACATCCAAAATTATTGAAACTAGAAAAAAAGAATTTCCAAGAAACCACTAAATCTATCATTTTCAAATTAATACTTGCTTCTTTGGATCTCATCTAATTTTGATTATTCAAACGTAGCAACTATAAATGATAACAAAATAAAGTTGAATTAAAAATGCCATTATTTTATTTTGGAGGGTTAAAAACATAATAATAATAATGATGATGATAAATGACAATAATAATGATAAATGATAAATATATGAATGAAAAAATTTGATAGATGATAGATGATAAATGATAAATGATAAATGATAAATGATAAATGATAAATGATAAATGATATATAGTAAATGATAAATGATAAATGATATATAGTAAATGATAATAATGATAAATGATAAATGATAAGTAAAGAATTATTTAAAACTAAATTTTTAAATACTAAAAATGAAGTGAAAAAAAAACCGCCAAGATTAATTATTATTATTATTACTTTTAAAATGAATGTGAATGAATGATTAAATGATTCTATGTAAAAATCTATTAACTTTTTAAAAAATAAAAATAACAATGAAAAATGAATTCTAAAAATTCAAAAAACCACTATTTCCTCTCCAAAAAAAAAATATTAATAATTTGATTTTTTTAATTTCCAAAACTTGATCAAAAACCTAACCAACAAAACTACTTCCTCCTTTCCTTTTTGCTTTCTCTTCTTTTTTTTTTTTCATCTTTCTTTAATAGATTAATCAATTAGTAAATAAAAATCTTCCAATGTGTCTACAAGTATTTTTTGCACCATTGTTTCTATCCAAAAGTTTACAAACAGCATAACCGTGAAAATTATTATTTTCCATTACAAATTCAGTGTTGACAGATTGTGATCTAGCATTCTCAATGAATTGTTTTACATCATCCAAAAAAACTTCAAATTCACCAGCACAAGCCCAAATTTTGGGTAGACCACCTAATTTCTTTTCATAGATTGGTGAAATCAAAGAACATTGTGATGATAGGTTTGTATCAATCATATATTTATTAAAAGATCTCTCCAACCATTGCGTATTAATTATATCATAACTTTTATTTTTGCTAAACGATTTAGAAGTTGGTAATCCCTAAAACATATATTATATATATATAGACACATGTACATTAGATATATTATATTAATTCATATAAATTAATTTTAACTTTAAATACAAGTGTGTTAGATTCTTTACCGAAAGACAAGGTGATAGTAAAATAAGTGAAGAAGGTAGATCTACTGAGTACGCATAAGGATTTTGAATAAGTTCAAGCACTGAAATCACTGCTAAATTTCCGCCTACATCATCACCGGCTAATAATTATAAAATATTAGCATAATATAATATAATATAATATATATCATAGCTATGATCATTAATTATCATACTAACCAAAAACTATTTTTGAAGGATTGATTCCTTGTTCATTCACCAACCATTCATAACATTCCAACATGTTATCTCTTGCTCCAGGGAATGGATTTTTAGGTGCCAGCCCTTTAATAATATTAGAAAGAAATAAAGAAGAAATAAAAGTGTAAGGAATAGGGAATAACTAATTGATTGATTAATTTTATTTTTTATATATGAATAGTAATTGATTATCAACCGTATTCAACCGATAATATCTGGGTTGTAGTTCCATAAGTTGATTTCCATGTTTGAATCCAATCGATAAATGTTGTAAAATGAAGTAATGCTCCTCCCGTAACAAATCCGCCACCTATTATTTTCGAAATCAAAAATAAATATATATTTACGCCGCAAGATGATCACATCACATGCAAGTATTTACCATGTGCGTATAAAATCACCACATCAGCATCTTGACCAACATCCAATTTTTCAGCATTTTCAGCAATAAAATAACCTCTCCAATTAGCATCTTTAATCTTTAATTTACGACACCAATAACTACGTTTAGAACCTCCCAACCATAACCCATTGAGGATATGATTATTGATAAATCCGAATGAATAAACCAGACTTCTAACCATCCATAACGGTAAAGTTTCAAGAATTGTGCTTATGATTGTGGAAATGTATCTTTGATAAAGTGTTGGTTTATTTTCACGACTGAAAAATGTTGTTACATATTTGAAAAAATCAAGAGGAAGTCGTACATCTGTTTGTCATATTTATATTATAATTAATTAATATATAAAAATAAGATTTTATTATATACAGCACGACGAATATTGTTATTAAAGATACTTGCATAATAAAATTAAACAATGAAATACAACAAAGAATTTTTTCATTTTTACGCTTCTGAAAAAAAGTTTTTTTTAAAAAAAATGATAGATGGTAATAATTGAAAAAAATAGGGAAATAACAAACGAATTTTTTATTTATATTAAAAAAGTTCGAATTTTCATATGAAAATACTTCAAAAAATGCATAATAATAATAATAATAATATAATATTAAATAAAAAGTCGAAAACCTGAATTAACTAAACAGGAGAGATTATCCAATTCAAGAAAAAGTCAAATGTAAGCCAGTGTGAAACGAATTGGACACTAACTAAGTCGAGGTTAAGAGTAACCGCAGCATGAGTTTATTGATCTATTAAAAAAAGTATTATGAGATCACAATCACATTATTTATTAACAAATATCATTCATTTTGAACCCTGAAATTTCTTTGTGACATAATGTTCACTTCGTCTGGTTTTGTTGTAATATATTGATAATTTTTTTAATTCGCCTTTTTACTAAAAATTTTCTCTAATACTAAAGCCTTTTTAGAAAAAATAATCTACGGCCTACATTCAATCACTATCAATGTATTAGTATGTCATAATATGCATGAACATCTCCCTCCATAATATACTGTGATGATCATTTCATTGTTTTTTCCACAAATAATAAGATGTTGATCATCTATTGTTTTTTTGAAATGATAATATAAAAAATGCTTCCACGATTAGTACAAGTTGCAGAACTTCAAGGTTAAAGAGGAATTAATGAAAATATTATTATATATATATATATATATATATATATAAAATAATAATAATACAAATTATATAAATATAATATATTAGGACATTCTGATAGAATTTGGTCAATTGCGTGGTCACATACAGGAAATATACTGGCATCATGTAGCAGTGATAAAACTATCAGATTATGGGCATTACAAAAACAACACGGAGAAAAAAATAATGATGATGATTTATTATTGCATTGGACATGTGTTAATGTGTTGGAAGGTGTTCATAATAGGACAATAAGAAGCGTTAGTTGGAGCCCTAATGGTAAACAATTAGCAGCTGCTAGTTTTGATTCTAAAACTACTATTTGGGAAAAAGATGAAGAAACTGGAGGTAAGAATGTGGATATATGAGTGTTTGAGAGAAATTGATACCAAGAGAAAATGAATATGTGAAAGCATGTAGATAGATAAAGTGTGTAATAATAATAACAACTCTTACTAATTATAAATGATTGATTAATTTAATAATAGAGTTTGAGAATGTTGCAACTTTAGAAGGTCATGAAAATGAAACTAAATCAGTTGCATGGTCTTTAGCAGGAACATTAATTGCTACCTGTGGTCGTGATAAGAGTGTTTGGATATGGGAAGGTAGGTAATAAATGAGTTTTTTATTTTTTATTTTTTTTATAAAAAAGTTATTAATTGATTTATGTACAAATATATTTTTAGCTTCTGATAATGATTTTGAGTGTTTAAGTGTTTTACAAGAACATACGCAAGATGTTAAAATGGTTGTATGGCATCCTACACAAGAAGTAATTATCACTATTACTATTATTATTACTTTATGTTTTTATCAATTAATAAATCTTTGTTGTTAAAGTTATTGGCATCAGCAAGTTATGATGATACAATTAAAATATGGAAAGAGGATGACGATGATTGGTGTTGTGCTGACACATTAAAAGGTCATGAAAGTACAGTTTGGGGTCTTGATTTTGATAAGTCTGGTGACTTTTTAGGTAAATCAATAAAATTCAAGTGTGACATATCATTATATTATATTATATCTATAATGACTATTTATAATCATTACTTATATAAAATAAAATCAATTTTAGTGTCAGTGTCAGATGATAAAACAGTGAAATTTTGGAAGACACACAAAAAATCAAATGAATCAAACAACAACAATAATCCAGTTATTAATCCAAATAGTACAAATGATATAAAATGGAAAAACATTTGTACATTAAGTGGATATCATCAAAGATGTATTTATTCAGTCAGTTGGTCAAAGATTAATGATAGGGTTGCTACAGGAGGTGGAGATAATAAAATTCGTATATTTGAAAAGGATTTAAATTTAGATAATAATATGAATAATAATGGCAATGATGATTTTATTAATTTTAAAATGGCATGTAGTATTGATAATGCTCATGGTATTGCAGATATTAATTGTGTACAATGGTCTCCTAGTGAAAGATTTGGTAATTTGTTGGCTTCTGCTGGTGATGATGGAGTTATTAAAATCTGGAAATTTATTGAAGAATGAAAATTAATTTGGATGTATGAATATAATAATGTACGAATGGATGAATTAATTAATTATATATACATAATATAATGTAATATAAATATAATTTTTTTAGAAATGATTATTTATTTATTTACTTTTAATAATAATATTACATTGAGAAAATATATTAAAATTTGAATTTGGAATTAGCTGAAAAGATTCTATCATTATTGTAAATGAATGATTTTAGATCTACAGTCATACCTCCATATAAGAGAAGAGCCCTGTTGGTAAAAATGTTCTTATATAGAGGATGGAAATATTTTCCACAAGTTTGTTTCCAACATGTGTTCCTCCTATAGAGACTCTGGCTCCAAACAAGTAAATAATCAATCATGACTATTGTCCCTATAAACACATGAATAGATTGATATACAAAGTTTTTGCAAATATGGGATGTTGACAATGGAAAGCTTGATTTGGATGTTAAGCAAAAAGTTTCTTTATGGGTAAAAATGACTTGAATATATGTGTAATAAAGATTTTGTTCAAACCAATCATGATTTGTAACATAGAATAATTAGAAATTCGAATCAGATTCAAATGAGTGACTCTGAATTTGAATTGAGATATTCTAAAATTTCTATTTTAGCATCCAAAAGAGTGTGCCATTTTCTTGATCAATTTCATGGTGCTATATAATACACAATGAATTTTTAATGAGTACAAATTTAGAAACTATCTGCAGAAATATTCAAATTTTTTGCAGATAGTTTCTAAACTTGCCCTAGTTAAATATCCATTAAATCAAGATTTCACTGTGTACAACATGTTAATTAAAATGATCCTGTTTATTATATGGGGAGATTTCTAGGAAAATGTGGTAAGGGACCTCTCTGACCAAAATTGAGTTTTTGCATAACATACTGTGGTGTTCGATGGTGGTTGATCATCAAACATATGTTACATCAATATAACAAATTATTATGTGCGGATTTTTTTAGTATCTTTATCATATATTTCAATACATTGTAAATGTTGACAACAAAATTCAACTAACAATATATTTTTTTGAAAATATGAATTATAAAAAGAAATTTCTATTAATTTATCAGTTGCAATGTAAATTTTATGGTAAAATTTAATAATAAATTGAATAATTTTAAACCATGATAACTTTTTTTTTTATAATAAAATTAAACAAAACTTTTTATAATTTTATTGTTTAAGTCTTCTATAATAAAGTTACAGGGAGCTTTTTTTCCTATCTCATTTGGTTATAAAGTTTTCCTATTAGCAATCTTTTTTTTCAATTTCTTTAGAATATATAAAAAAAATTTTTTTTTTATTTAGCAAAAAAAAAAACTCTCTATAATCTAAAAGCTTAATCTATTTACTATAATTTCTCTTAGTTTCATGTCTGTATCTCTTTATTTGAAGGCTCTGATACGATTTTTATTTATATAGTTTTTACATATAAAAAAAGTTTGTTATTGATCGGCATTATGTTACATCACCTAATTTTGATTTAATTAGGGCACACATACATCTATATTATAAGGATTATAGAGTTGACAAACATTTAGGCATTCCGACTGTTGAAATATATTCAACAAGGTCACTTTATTTGCCATAATGTCAAATGTCTAAATATTTGTCTCTAAATTAATTATTAATGTATAAAACTGACTACTTGCACCACCAATAATATTAGTATTGAAGCTCCTAAACGGGCCGGGCTAACCGAAAGTTTTCGGGTTTAGGGTCGGATTCAGGTTGTTGGTTGGGACTGAACCGAAATACCCGAACCCGACCCGAAACCCGAAAATTTTTTGGACTGTACCAATTATACCTAGGTCAAAATTATTAAATTGGATTGCATTATCTATCATAATTTTATACAATTGACACAAGATGCAATTCGTGACGCAAGTCTCAATTCATGGTACAAACATGATTCATGACAATTAATTAGCTAACAAAACCTTTTTAGCTATGAAGCATTGATGTTACATTAAAAATTGAAAAGCTTTCATGCAATAAATAAAGAGTTTTATATGTGGTTAAAGTTTGAATTAGTTCATACACACACATCACGATTATGTTTTGTGTAGTGATGGTGGCTGAAATTATTATTACAGGACGAATTGGGTCAAAAATGACACTATTTTTATGGTAATCATAATCTTTTTTAATAAATATATAAATAAATAATAAGAATGCGAATATAAAATATTAATATTAATAAAAAATACAAAACGAAAGTGACTATATAGATCACATGTCAGGAATATGATTGGACGGCACTTCGATAAATCCGTTTTATTTATCATAAAATTTGGTCATAGATTTCACAATTTAACCACAGTTTAGGAGTTTACCCATAGTTTAGGTAATTTATAAGTTTTGTCACTAGTTTAGGAGCCTAAATTCCTAATTTCTATAGATAAACTATTTCAGATTTGTTAAATAAACAAATCAATTCTTTTTTTTTGTTCAATAAAACATTTTTGTGGTTGGAAATTAAACAGTAGAGTTTAATTGACCACTTGGTTTTCACCTGCAGTTAGTGTTGGTCGCCAAAACTATTTTGAAGAGACGAAAGTCAAATCTAAAATTAAAAGTTATATGTCAAAACTAAATCAAAAGTCAATAATCAAAAATCAAACTAGTTTCAACTTATGGCGAAACCTTTTGACTTTCGCACGGTTGCGAAACTCTCTAGTTTTGGAAACCAACACTACCTGCAGTTTAGGTTTCGCCAACTTCGCTGCAAAATTAGGCCTAAACTATGGTTAGTTCCAGCCATCATCCACTAGCCTTGCGTCTTTAATTATATATTGTGTCACGAATTGTCTTGAATTACGTCTTGCGTCACGAATTGCCTCTTTCATCGCGAATTGCGTCCTACATCTCTTGCATCATGAATCGTGTTTTGCGTCACGCATGACACAAAGTGCAGCCTTTAAATCATTATAACTGTTTCGCCTTTTATATTTAATTAATTATTTTTATGTAAATCACAAAATTTTCTTATTAATATTAACCCGAAATTTTCAGGTCGGGTTCGGATGGGTCTCAGTTTGCCTTTAAAACATTCGGATTGACACTTAACCCGCCTGAACCCGACTCGTTAGGAACTTTAATTAGTATTAGTAAATTTGAGAATGAATCCAACTTTTAATGATAATAAAATAATGCGGGTTTTTTTTGTTTGTAATTAGCTGATTAATTGTAAAAATATCAATTGCATTCATCTTTTATCATTGATACAATGTAACTTCACTGTGACACACGACCTCCAAGGAAATTTAACTTTTTCTTCCAACATTCAATTCAATCTTTATCATAGAAAAATATAAAGTTTGTGATTTTTTTTGCAAATTATTCCCAAGATTGTTATAAGGGAATAGATTTTATTTTTATTGTACTTATATTAATAAATTATGGTTAAATTTAAAACATTTGACAACATTTAGGCATTTTGTTTCAATAACATTTAGGCATTTTGACATTATTTAGACTTTCAGCATTAATTTGGACTTTTGATGTGATCAATCAATTTAGACTTTTGACATTAATTTAGGCTTTTGACATCATTTTAGACTTTTGACATCAATTTAGACTTTTGACATGCCTAAATGTTGAATGACAAAATGTTTCAACAAAGCCCAAACCATTTTGACTAACAAATCTAAAGGATTACAACTGGTGAAAAAATCAGACCATGTTTGCTTAGCATAATGAGATACAAGACTTTGAAAATTTTAATACCAGTCACAGGACATTGCAGATCTACAGGGGATGAAGTGCCACTCACTGATAAAATTTTTTTGATCAGCACGGAATTTTATATGAATAAATGAAGAAAAAAATCATGCTTTCATACACAAACTTGCTTGATTCAATCAAATTGTTACTTGAATCATAAGAAATAACAAATATATGAAAACCCTTTATTTTGATGTATTTTTTGCCAGGGCAAACAGATACCACTAAGTGATAATCTTAACATGAAGTTGGACTATCAGTTCTTGTTGCTGCGCCACGCGCTCAAATTTCAAAAATTGCAGTTTCGTGATTCGTTCAAATGTTTTTAAAAAAAGGTTTTGGTTAAAAAATTATTTTCCTTACTGCCAAATTTAGATACGATGTCAAGTATTGGTATAAATTTAGTAATGATGATCAAAAACTAGTCTAAATTTAGCAATGATCCTAGTACTAAATTTCTCATGAGTATATATGCAGCCCAAGTTGGTTTGGGATTTTGATGGACAAAATTATTCCAATTTTGATGGTAGAAAGTAGAAATTAATTATGGCATTCAATATTAAAAACATAAGTGCAACACCCCTTTACTACATGTATAACCCTCTTTATGACAGTGTCAAAATACTTTGGGCTGCATGTATACGCATGAGCATAGTAAAGTACATGTTTTGAAAAAGAATAGAACTCTACAACAAATAATTTTTTGGAGAAAATATCTTCATTACTATAAAATAAAAACCTATTTTACCAACTAATGAGGCTATTTTTTTAAAAGATGGGACAGAAAATGACTTCTATACTTTTAAAATTTGCCCAAAATTTAGGAAGTCTTTAGACCAAGCCAACTATACAGTGTTGAAATTTCGTTATGTAACTAGTACAAATTTAGAAACTATCTCCAAAAATTAAAAATTTGATTGGTGTGTAATGATACACCCGCACTGAATTTTCAACAGCATAATGGACATTTGATTTCATTGGCTAAAATTTGTGACGATTTCCCTTCCATATATATATCATTGGGGTATTCGATATAAGTTGATTAGCAAATCTAATTAATGTCATAATGTAAATACATATATGCGGATATTTTTATGGTACCCCTTTTTTTCTCTAAAAAAGGAAACAGTGTAACAAAATATATTTTCAAATACGTTATTATGTTATTAGTATTATGAACTTTCAATTGCTAAGGCTTTTGGAAAATCGTTACATTTATAAATTATTAGAGGTTTTGATCAGGATGCATTTGTAGAACAGTGCTATGGAGAGAGAATTTTAATTTCATACAATTTTTTCGGAAGTTGCAATAGATAGAAGTATTATGATAAAGAAGAAATTTTCTGTATTTTGAATGAGCTTTTTTACACCATTGGTATTTTTATATCCATTAAATCTTTCTATAGCTCTAATCTATATTACATATACTAACTTGCATGTTAATTTAGTGTTCATATCTTTGAAAACAGATGAGAAGTAGTGGTTTGAAAACAGCATGTTTTATTAACGTTTTATTAGTATTATGAACTTTCAATTGCTAAGGCTTCTGGAAAATCGTTACATTTATAAAATCATTCGAGGTTTTTAATCAGGATGCATTTGTAGAACAGTGCTATGGAGAGAGAATCTTTATTTCATACAATTTTTTCGGAAGTTACAATAGATAGAAGTATTATGATAAAGAAGAAATTTTCTGTATTTTGAATGAACTTTTTTATGCCATTGGTATTTTTACATTGTGAGATCAAAATTCCACGTCTCACACAAATCTCTTGATTTGGTTAAGTTAGTATTTATTTCGTTTATCAGTATCCAACTATTCTCAAGTTTGTTTATTTACACACTTTGGTGTCTTGGCAGTTAATAGTGCTCTAGCTATTACTTCGTGAGAGGGTAAGTATGTCTGACTTCCCTTCCGGTAACGTTTTCTCAGCAGTTGCTATGTTTGCTGCCTGAGCCGGAACGTGTCAATTATTATCTCCTCTGATAATAATCCCAGTATCCTCCTTGATACCGATGTGTTGTGTTTATATAGATAGTTCAGTGTTTCTAACTGACCGCACCTAGCTAGGGGTTTCCTCATTTTAGGCGTTGGCCTAATCTAAAAATAAAGAAAATAAAATTAAAGAAATATATACAACTATACTTATCAAAGGCGTCCCCTGGTAAGATAGTAATTAATTTATTAGTTACAAAAATGTAATTTTCGAAGATAACAGACAAGGACAAGGTCAAGGTTTATTTATAATAATATTTGAGTTTACTAAAAAAACTAAAAAAACTAATAAACTTTTTAGTTAAAACTAAAGATTACATGAAAGAGAAATTTACAACATATTGTAAAATAGTAAATTATAAATCACGGGAAACGAACATATAAATCGGAAATGATTTACATGTATCACGAAGTGAAAATTTGGAAACGATTATCACGGAATAACTCAACAAGAAATAAACCAGTACAATTTAATAAATGTTACACTAATTAATAAGGCGCACCAATCAAATAAATAGCTCTCGGAAAATAACCCAAATATTGGAGATATAAATATTCCAACATTCTAAAGTGTAACAGATTACAAAGTCTCAGAATAATATTTAAATGAAAGAATTTTACATGACTCATGTTGACTAGAAATTACTTGAAAATAATTCTAGACGGAAGGTCCAGATGATATTTAAAGAACATATTAATTAGTATAAATTAGGATTTCAACAAAGTTGGATAACTAGATGATAGAACCTTTAACATGTATAAATATGTTGTAAATTTCTCTTTCTTGAAAAAATCAGTTAGAAGTTCATCAGTTAATTCATTCTTAACTACTATCTTGTAATAACAATAATATCTTATTAATAAAATACAAACATAAATATCTCTTAAAATAATCCATTGCCAGTGGAATTATCCACCCGCTTCCTGAACCATATAAACCTTTAACTCTAACCTAATTATTAATTAATTACTATCTTACCAGGGGGATGCCTTTGATAAGTATAGTGTGTGTATTCTCTTTTAATCTTATTTTCTTTATTTTTATTTTAGATTAGGCCAACACCTAAACAAGTGGAAACCCTAGCTAGGTGTGGTCAGTAAAGAAACACTGAACCATAAAAACATAACACATTGGTATCCGGGAGGATACTGGGATTATTATCAGGAGAGATAATAATTGACACGTTCCGGCTCAGGCAGATAACAAAGAACTGCTGAGAAAACGTTACCGGAAAGGGAAGTAAGGAAACTTACCCTGTAAATAATTTAAATAGCTTGAGTGCTTTAGTGAAAGAAAGTAATCAAAGAATTACACAACTGGATACTGCCATAGGAAGGGATAAATAATATTATAATCAAATCTAATAGATTTGTGTGAGATGGAATTTTTGAGCTCACATTTTGGCAACGACAACAGGACCACAATCTTCAGGATAGTCTTCACACTACTTGGAATTGAGTATTGTGGTCACCAACCTAATTATAGGGCAGAAATAAAGATGTATATAAGTCAACACGGAGTATCCAGTGGAGGAGTATCAGACCCAAACAGGGGACTATAAATTATTTGAAGATACTGATTCAAACCCATCAGAAGTAACAGATTCTGAGCTTGTTCAATTCAATCTTTCAGAAACTGACGTGGACTGTATGTCAGAAGAAGAAACTGCAAACCAAGCAGTAGTGGAAGATTTAATAACTTTAGAGGAAGATAATAGTAAACAACCGGAGATAACTCCTTATCTTATTTTTAGTGAATCTAGCTATACTTCCGGAGGAGGAAGTAGCAAAATAACAAAAGAGGAAGAACCAACAGGAAGCAATCAGGAGAAGGATATTGAGGATAAACAAGAAATCACAGAGGAGGAAAACGAAGATACAGACACAGACTCTACAGACACAGACTCTACAGGTTCAGATCAAGAGGACGGTGACAAGACAGTAGAAAGTCCAACAAAGAAATTAACAGAATTTGAGAACAAAACAAATCAGGAACCTGTTGAACCTTACGAAATTAACTCAGACAAAGAGTCAGATACATTGTACGTTTGACATACTTCAAGCAGTGAGGAAGCAAGTCCAGAAAAGAAAAACAAAGAGAGGGAAATAATCTCAGAAACAAATCTAGAAGATTCAGACAAGGAGATCCAAATACCTAGCCCAACAAAGATGAGCACCATGACAGCAATGGATGCAAGCCAAACAGTTGGAAATCTGTCCAATATTTTCCAAGGAGTAACTGCTATGGCCCCTTCTACAACCAGTGGATCAACTGAAGGATACAATATAATAGGAACATTTGGGGATTACTTTAAGCCACATTGCTGGTCAAAGAATTGTAAAGAACTAGTTAATCATGAAGGTGAGAAGTGTAGAAGTTGTAATCAGTGTGCTCGCCACGGATGCGATGGAACAGCACCTGAAGTTAGAAAATGGTGTAGCGATTGTCGTTATAAATGTAAGGTACCTGGGAAACATAATTGTGAAAATCATAGTAAAGAAGAACCAGCACCATGTGCATGGTCTGGATGTAAACAACCTGCAAGAACATCAGGGGATTTTTGTAAAGAATGTCAGGAGAATGTAAATAAGATGTGTGAGGTATGGCAATGTTATGAACCAAAATGTAATGAGTCTGCACAATTTTGCAGAGGGTGTTGGGATAAGAAGTATGAGGAGGCAAAAAGACAGCAACAAACATCAATCAGCCAAAGTTCAAATCAAACTAACTCAAACTCGACTTCCGGATCAGGAAGTAATGAAGTGCCAGTAGTGACTATTCAAAATCAGGGCGGAAGTGGCTCTGGTACAACCACAATTGAATTAGGAAGTGATGGGAAGCCAACATATGAATGCCTTATAGATGCATGCGACAAGAGAGTAAGAACAAAGGGGGAGAAGTGTGAGGATCATAAATATTGTGAACACGTAGGGTGTAAAGAAGAAGCACCATTTGCATTTAGATACTGTAAGAGGTGTCAATTATGTTGCAGAGCAGATGGATGCTTCGGTACAAGGGAATGGAAAAAGGCTTACTGCAAGAACCATCCAACCACAAAAATGGCACCTTGCTCTATAGTTAGCTGTAAAAGAAAAACAGGGGACCAAGCATGGGAGTTTTGTAATGAATGTGTTAAGGGGATGATTGAGCTGGAAGAGAAGACAGGGTGTGACGTTTGTCAAATTCCAGATCCATCATGTTACGATTGTCAATGTGTAAGAATTCTACAAGAATATAATGAGATAAGGAAAGAGGCTTTAACATCCAAAAATGTAACCTTCGATACTCAGAGTTCTAGTTCAACTACAGCAGGATCAAGTACAACAGGTGGACCAAGACCTATTTTAAGAAATCACACAAACAGTATAATAAGTAGCATAAGCCCACTGACAGGAAATAACTCTAGCTTCATCAGTAGTGCAAGTTCCAACTCCATTGGAACTAGTAACTTACTTGATATAAATTCAAACCCAACTCGAATTTTACCAATAAGAGCTGGAGGGGGATTTGGAGGAAACTGGAATAATCCACCACCAATTAATAATAATCCACCACCAATTAATAATCTACCACCAATTAATAATAATCTACCACCAATTAATAATAATCCACCGCCAATTAACAATAACCCACCACCACCTCCACCACCAAACAATAACAATCAAGGTGGAAATAATAATAACAATAATGGGAATAACAATCCTTATGTTGTGGATGCAAGTATCCTCCTTCAAATATTGCAAGCTCAACAACAACAACAGCAGCAAAACCAAGGAGGAGGTCTAAGAGAACAAAGATTAGTGGAACTACCAACCTTTGATGGGGCTGGAGAAGACCCTTATCACTGGTGGAAATCTTTTAATGATGCATGTAATGCAAATAATATTAGCATGGAAAGAAGACTACAAATAGTACCATCCTTTTTGAAAGGACAAGCAAATGTCTGGTGGAAGATGGCAAGTCCATTTACCACTGTGTGGGAAGTGCCACGAAATGGAGTAAATGAACATGTTAGTTTTAAGAAACAATTTTTTGATTATTTTTGCACACAATTCCATAGACAGAACTGGATGGAACAACTGAGAAGTAGAGAACAAATGGCTCATGAAGATGTTGATGCATATGCCAGAGCATTAGCTGACTTATATCAGAAAGTAGATCCATTAAATAGATATCCAGAAGAGGATAAAATGCAACAATTCTTGAAAGGACTACAACCTGCTATACGAATGATGACTGAATTGAATACTCCAAACAATTGGAATGAAGCTTGGCAACAAGCAAAGAAGGTGGAAAATGCCTTGAAAAGAGGAAGTATAGGAAACCCACTCCTACAGCCAGCAAATGTAAACCAAGCATTAATAAACCAAATGGCAAAAATGGAAGAGACTATACAAGTACTCCATACAGAAGTAAAAGAAAATAAAGAAACTTGTACAAATTGCAATCAGAAAGGACATGTAGCCAAAAATTGCTATGCAAAAAGTATTAAATATAATGACGTACCTCAGAAACCTTGTCATAATTGCGGAAGGAAGGGACATTGGGCTAAAGACTGTTATGCTTCAAAGCAATGCAACAATTGTAACGGCAAAGGACATCTTGCCAAAGATTGCAATAAGGGAGTAAAATGTTATGGCTGTGGAAATTTTGGACACATAGCTAAAGAATGCCAGAAGAAAAAGAAAAGTCAAGATAAAAGAAACAACAATAATTCGCAAAGTTATAATGGACGTCCTAGAAGACAAAATGCATATATATCTCAAGAAGAGGACACTCTCAGCACTCTAGCAGCAACTGTTGGAGAATTAGCCAAGAAAGTCGAGAATTTAAAAGTATAAAAGTACTTCCCAAGGGGGATGGAAGTGCTAAAAATACAAATGAACACCCCCAAACAGTGCCTGATTGTGTGACTTGTGATGCGGAAATCTGGGGAACCAAAGTAGAAGCAACAGTGGATACTGGGTCCTCAGGAAGCATCATATCAAAGCAATGTTTAGACCAACTAAAAAGAAAAATAGAAGAAAGTTCAAATGTTAGTCTCATTGGAATAAATGGACAAAAACATAGACCATTGGGAATTGTACGGAATGTACATGTCACCTTAGATAATAAACACCCAATTGAAGTAACAATGCAAGTAACGGAGGCTACAAACTATGAATTAATTTTAGGAGTAGATTGGTTAAGAGCTATAAATGGAGTAATATCCATTGGGGAAAAGATTTTAATCACTACTGCCTATGGAACAACAAATAAACATCCTATAAAGGTGGAAAAGAAGCCTAATATTATTGAACAACCAGGAGATGAAGAATATGAAGAAGAATCTATCCAAGAAGAATTTGCCTTCTTAAACAGAATGATAACAGACCATAAGCCAGAACAAATGATTAGAACGTTTACAAATATAGAATGGGAAGACTTAGAAGAAGAACAGAAGCCAACTATCAATAGAGAATTAACTTTAAAGCAACAACAGAAATTAGATAAATTTCTGCAAAAACATGATGATATGTTCGCAGGAGGATTGTATGAATTAGGACATACCCAAGAAGAAGTTCACTCTATACCAACAAATTGCCTTTTCCTCAAAACCAAAGAGCCTATCACTATCCACCGAAATACAATGATTTTATCAACGAAGAAATACAGCAGATGCTTGAGAATGGAATAATAAGAGAATCAACAAGTAGTTGGACATCACCTATAGTAGTTGTAAAGAAGAAAAATAATAAGTTAAGATTCTGTGTGGATTATAGGAAATTAAATGCCTACACGGAACAAGACAAATACCCTTTACCATTAATTGCTGATATCTTTGACTCATTAGAGGGATCCAAATATTTCTCGTCACTAGATTTAGCTAGTGGATATTGGCAAATGGAAGTAGCTGAAGAAGATAAAAAGAAGACAGCTTTCATTTCAAAACATGGATTATATGAGTTCAACAGAATGCCCTTTGGATTAACCAATGCACCAGCTTCCTTTCAAAGATTAATGAATAAAGTATTATCAAAAGAAATTGGACGATTTGTTGTAGTATACCTAGATGACATAAATATATATTCTAAAAGCTTTGAAGAACATTTAGAACACTTAGAAATAGTATTTTCACGTCTTAGACAAGCTGGATTAAAGCTTGGAAAAGACAAATGTTCATTTGCAAAAACACAATTGGAATTCCTTGGACATATAGTAGGGAGAGATGGATTACAACCTGACCCAAAGAAGGTAGAAAAAGTTCGCGATTGGCCAACACCTAAAACAGTGAAGGAAATTCGCTCATTTCTAGGATTAGCCTCCTACTATAGACGTTTTATGAAGGATTTCTCAAAGATAGCCAAACCTATGTACAATTTGGTTAAAAAGGATGAAGAATTCCAATGGAAAGAAGAACAGGAGGAAGCATTCAATAAACTTAAACAATTATTAATAAATGCACCAGTAATGGCATATCCTGACTTTGATAAACCATTTATTCTACATACAGATGGATCACATACTGGATTAGGAGCTGTCCTGGAACAAAAGGACGATGAAGGAAGAGGAAGAGTAATAGCCTATGCTAGTAGATATTCTGCTACTGAATTAGAATTTCTTGCTTTACATTGGGCTTGTACCCAAGAATTTAGATTATACTTGCTTGGAAAACCATTTCTACATGTCACTGACCATCAACCGCTAAAACATTTAAAGAACACAAATGGAGGGTCCAAAAGAATTCAAAATTGGTGTGTAAATCTGGAAGAATTTCAGTATCAAGTTGAATACAAACCTGGGATAAATAATGGGAATGCGGATGCTCTATCAAGAAGACCGGAAAGTCTATAAACTACCATTTAATTAAGAGAGTAAAATAATAACACCACATATCTCAGGATGGAAATTCAACTATATAATGGCATTAAACACTATCTTACTAATCACCAACCTCCAAGAAATATACCTCCAAAATTAAGCAAGCAAATAATCAACAAAGCAAGTAATTTTCGAATATCTAATGATAAATTATATTTTATCCAAAATGATGAAGAACGAAGAGTAATTAGACAAGATGAAGTAGAAAGAATACTGTTTGGAGAACATTCAGATATTCTTGCAGGACATTTCAATGTGGAATCAACTTACCAAAGAATCAGAAGCAAATACTACTGGCCACGGATGTACAAAATAGTCGAACAATATGTAAAAAGTTGTGATTCCTGTCAAAGACGGGGAAAACCAAAGAGAACAGAAGCATTACATCCAATACCAGTAGGAGACCCATTTGACCAAGTCGGAATTGACATTGTTGGTCCATTAACAGAAACAACAAACGGAAATCGTTATATTATAGTAGCAACAGAATATTTAACCAAATGGCCAGAAGCTTGTGCCATATCAGACACTAAAGCAAGTACAGTAGCAAAATTTATTTACGAAGAAATCATTTGTAGACATGGAGCACCAAAAGTCCTACTTTCAGATAGAGGATCATCTTTTCTGAATGAAGTAGTAGACTCACTTTGCAATGAAATGGGAACAAGACATGCCCTTGCATCAGCTTATCACCCACAAACAAATGGATTAACAGAACGTTTTAATAAAACATTGTGCGAAACCATTGCAAAATATATTCTACAATATAATGGAGAATGGGATAAATTTGTTCAATCAGCCTTATTTGCCTATAGAACCAAACCACAAAAGTCTACAAAATTCACACCGTTCATTTTAATGTACGGAAGAAAAGAGAAAACTCCTTTAATGTTGGAGACAACATTTGGGGAAGAACTTGAATGGCGAATTGATGAACATGTGAAACAGATCACAGAACGGTTAGGGAAAACAAGAGAGATTGCAAAGAACAATATTAAGAAAGCACAAGATAAACAAAAAGAAAAATTTGATGAAAAAATGAAACCACACAAATACGAGATTGGAGAAGAAGTACTGCTCTTTGATAGTAGTTCTCAGAATGTCCATGGTGACAAATTTAGAGAAAAATGGACAGGACCTTTCTATATTCATGAAGCCTGGAAACATGGGACTTACAAATTAAGAAATATTGAAACAGGAATGGTTATGAGAAAACCAATCAATGGTGCTAGATTAAAACATTATTTCAGAAAACCAGCATGGGAAGCACAAATACTCATAGAGTGAATAAAGATAAACCATAAAAGGAATAACCTTGATAAGAAAACTCAAAACAGATGGATTCATTGAAAGTAAACAATGATAAGAAGAATCAATCATTATAAAATAGGGAGACGCCAAGATGAAAGATGGGAAAACAAAAGAATTCTGAGAATGAAACTTTAGATCGAACATCACTTCTAATCTACTTTTCAAACATTATTTAAAGAGAGAGAATTTCCCTAACTTTCAATCTTCACGGATCAGACAAACAACAAAAATAAAATAATAAAAACCATTGAATGGAAAATTCAAATAATTATATACATTCAATACACTATAAATTAAAAATACCCAAAAACAAACGACCTACCACAAAGGAAATTTTAAATTTCGGACAAAGAAATTTAAATAAAAAGAATAATCAGGTAATCAAAAATTATTTAAATATTTATAAATTTATACGAACAGAAATTCAGAAATGGCAAAAAGATTTAGACAAATTAGAAAATTGGCAAGAGAAGTACTCCAAAAATTGGGAAGAGGAAATAAACTACAATCTGAACCAATTACTATTCTTGAACGACCAGATGCTAATGATGCCAACAACAATAATCAACAACCTTAGTCTTGAAGAAGTATCAGACATACAATCAATTAATCGGGAACAAATACAGGGACAATTTCAAATTGTTAACAGGTTTGACATCGAAGAGGGACCTGAAATATATTATGGATTAGATCAAGTCCAAGATGAGGAACCATATGAATATTTTGAATATGAAGCAACCACTCCAGCATTAGTTTCAGAAGACTCGGATAAAGAGTCCGATGAAATAATTGAAATTGAAGAACCAAGTAATAATCTTGACAAATGGGAAGAAATCCCTAAAGAATTAGAAAATGATAATTGGGGTGACACCCCAGAAGAGACAAATAGTGGGAACCCATGGGTTGAGGGAAACACCCCAGGATCAGATAACTGGTACCCATGGAGCAGGGATTTTATCCCTCAAAATGCAACTTGCATAGAAACAACCAATGAAACTCAACAGCCAACCACAACCTTTGTACCAATCACATTTTTAAAATACAAAAGACAACCATTACCTTGTGGTTGTGATAAAAGAAAACTTCAAGAAGCTGCCACCGATCATATGGCAAGAAACTTCTGCACTAGAAGGAAAAATTTTCATTGCTGCAAATGCAGTAGACCTCTAGCCAAAGATGAAGTTTATGAAGGAACAAATCATTACCATCAACTCTGTCGGTCTTGCGACAGAATAGAAAAATATGATATCACTAATGAATCATGGTATCATGAACCTTGTCAAGTGTGCGGACAGCCACTTGAACAGAAAGAAAATATTGGTTGGAACAATTATTGTTGTTCCACGACTTGTAAATATGCTTATTTAGCAATAATGAGTTCTCAGACCTTTGAACATATTCCTACAAGGGTTTACCATTATCTTAATACTGGAAGAGGACAATATCACGAAGTTGATGAAAGTGAAGTGCTGGAAAAAGCACGGAACTTTTATATAAAATTAAACGGTGAACCTGAACGATACGATACCAGGATGAATAATAATCTTGAAACATGGAACGAAGCAAGAGACAGAGCTTATTTCGAAGCTCAAGAAGCTGTAGATTATCTGTGGGAGAGTACCCTCACATATTTAAATAACCATCATAATGAAGAACATATCTGGCAAATGAATGAATCTTTCAACAATAATAGGGAAGCTGCTATTGCTAGATTACCAACTATCCTAGATTTAACCGAGGATAATCGGTTAAAACTGGCAAATTTTAATTTATGTCATAATTGCTATTTTCCATGAAGACTTGAGACAAACTAATGATAGAAAATTTTTATGTATTAAAACAGATATGAATCCAGAACCATGTTGGATTGACCCCATAACCGACGAAATTAATAATATAATTGAAGAAGCACAAGAAGTCTGTGAGGAGGATTTCGGAAAAGAAATCCTTCGACAGGAGAAAAATCAAAACCAATATTGCAAATGTTATGCAAAAACTCATCTCACAGAGAAACAAAAAGCTCGGTACCATAGAAGAATATGTCAGGATGGAAGAAAGAAATTCTCATCCAGTGAAAATTGATTTTTATATTTATATAATATGCCTAAGTAATATAAAAACTTAGACTCAGTGAAAATCTGAATAATCATGTATTAATTAATTATTAGTTATTATCTTATCATGTATCTATTTATATTGTTTCTTATCTTATTATTATTGTTTATTATTTATTTATATAATTTAAATTAAAGTTTATAATCTTATTCTTAATTCGGAAAAAGTTAAATTAATTATTATTGTTACACTAGATAAGAGAAATTCTTAAAATCTAAAATTCGTTCTGAAAATTTATTATATAAGTAATTCCTTTTTACCTTGAATCAAATTACTTTTGAAAATACTTCTATTATAATTATTGAAAATGGCACCTGTTAGATATTCATCACCAGGTAGAAACCAAAATGAAAATAATTCTTCACAAAATTTACATAATACAATGTTTCGAAGAACACATTGGACAAATGAACCTAATAATATGAATTGGGAAACATACCATCATTTACAAAATCAATTACAACAATTAGAAATGGAGATATTAAATTGGGAAATAGAAATAACAATTAGACCCTCAACACCTGCTCATGTGAGTCATTGGAAGAAATTAAAACGATTACATAAACATACAAAGGAAAGATTAAACCTCCTATTAACAAATAGTAATCACTAGGGATGGGGCGGTTCGGTTCGGTTCGGTTTCGGTTCAGCGAAACCGGTTTAAACCGAACCGAACCGGTTCAACCGGTTCGGTGTAACCAGTTTATTACACAAACCCTTTATAGATTATACATGCAGATCATTCTTTGCATA